ACTGTGACCCTGGGCAAGTAACCTCTGAGTCTGGGTTTCCTCACAGGAATCTTGGAATTAAGTCACACAATGGAGGCCGATTATAATCTATAATTTTGTAGGTTATATTCTGAATCTATAATTTTATAGATTATATTTTGAATCTATAAAAATGGCAAGAACAAGGTCTTGGCCTTTATAGTCCTTAATTAGCTATAAGGGACTAAGCTCAAATCCCCAGGTAGGAGTTTCCACTGGTTGCCCAGCCTCCTGTGAGTCCTACCTACTTGAAGATGATGGAGTCTGAGACCTGTGGATTCTTGAAGACAGTGCATGGGGAGACAGGATGAGAAAGAAGGTGGAAGGGTGCAGACTGAAGGCAAGTTCAGCAGCAAAGGAGCCTGGCGCCCAAGGGCCTCTGGGGTCATCAGGGTCATTGTTCAGTCTGAGCCCCGGGCCCAGAAGAAAATTCTTATACAGCTGCCATGCTCTGCTGGGGGCAGGACCCTGGGATCCATGGAAGTGAGGACAGACAGACCTCCTGATTAAGAGGAGGGAGTGTGAGAGGAGCTGTTCCAGCAGGAAATGCCAGAGCAGAGCGTGAACAATAGCGGGGTTTCTTTAGCCCCTGTTTTCTTTGGCCTCTTAGCTGCCACAGAGGCCACAGCCACCGCTCCACCAGGTCCTTGGCTTTCCTGCTGGCTCCTCCCCTCAGCCCCTGCCTGCCTGACTGACAGAGGAGACACCTGTTCTCTCTCCCTCTGCTGCACCCTTGGGCTGGGTTCCTTCCCTCCAGCTAGCTCCACGCTGCAACTTCAGGGTTTTTTAAAAAATAGTCACAACATGAGAGACTTCACTGAACCTTGTTCTGTGCCAGGCACTGTGCTAAGTGCTTCTCAAGCACATGTGGGGTAGGGTCTTTAGTGCAGCTGCGGCTGGGTCCCTGCACTTCCTCCAAGCCCTGGAGAGCCCTCCAGCCTCATTCCCCACATGCCAAACCCTTCGGTGGGAAGAGGAAGGGATAGGAACTCAGAGCAAAAGGGCAAGGACAGGAGCGGTGTTGTGAACTGGGAGAGTGTCGCCCAGTCCAGGGGTGGAAGGACTTGACTTTGGGGGGGACCGAAAAAGACAACGTGTAAGACAGACAGATGTGGAAAATGAGGTAAAGACAGAAGCAAAGACAGGCACAGACATTAAAAGATGCAGAAGAGGGCCGGCCCATAGCTCACTGGGGAGAGTGTGGTGCTGATAACACCAGGGCCAAGGGTTCGGATCCCTATATAGGGATGGCCGGTTAGCTCACTGGCTGAGCGTGGTGCTGACAACACCAAGTCAAGGGCTAAGATCCCCTTACCGGTCATCTTTAAAAAAATTTTAAAAAGAGGCAGAGGAAAGGTGAAAATAGAGAGGAGATAAGAAACCGTGAGATGAGAGAGATGGATGAACAACAGAGAGAGACAGAGAGACCAAGACTGTAAAAGGAAGAAAGGGAAAGAAAAAAAAATGAGTGTGAGAGACACAGAGAGGGAGAGGTGGGGAACTTAAGAGACAAACCAAAATGAGAAAGAGAGAGAGGCTGAGAAAGGGACAGAGAGAGGGGGGAGACTGACAGAGGAAGAGGGACAGAGGGTGAAGACAAGACTGAGAAAGAGACTGATGGAGCAGCAGCAGGACTGCAAGGGGGAGAGAAGCCAAGACCGAGTGAGGGTTTGAAGGGCGAGACTAACTAAGGAGGCTAAGGAGACTGAGGGGAGGAGGACGCAGAGGAAGAAAACCTGAGACGGGCGGTGGGGCGTGCTGCGGCAGGTGGGGGCTTCTGGCAGGGAGGCGGCGGGAGAGACCAAGGCCCCGCCGGGAGGCGAGGGCTGCGCCTCTGTGCTCTCCCACTCCCACTTCGGCCACTGGAGTCCTGGGGACTCTTCCTGACCCCAGAGAACCTGAACCGGTCATGCCCCCTCCCGTCCTATCGACAAGGGGAACTTCGGGTCCCCACCTCCTGTGGGATTCTCCGGGATCCCCAAGAGGGCTGTGTCCTGGAGGGGCTGGGACGGCTGCCGCGGAGAGGGCGCCTCGGGGGGTCTGCCGCCTCGTCCCGGTACTGCCCGGCTGCTGGGCGCCGAGGACGGC